TTTGTACTGTTCTCATCAGCTACTTGTTTACAGGGTTTTCGGTCATTTGATAGAATGTGTTTTGGGTAGGAGAAGTGATTATATTCCTTGTGAATGAGATTTTCCACAGGAATAGAGTTAAGTAAACAGTTTGCATTTTATTAAATTTCTACCTTATATACATATACTTAACACTTAGAGCTAGATTTAAAACTGTGCTATTAGCCCAAGTTAATAGGCAGTTTTAGTTCAGTTGTAACATATTTAATTGGGAAAAAAAAATGCTATCTCTGGCAAGACTTAAGAACATTCCAAAAATTCAAGTATATAATGAGGCAAAAAGCATGCTTCATTTGATGCTGAACTTTCTTGTGAAAGCTTGGCGTAGTCCTATCATCTCATCCACACCCTTTCTGATTACTCAAGAAAACGGATGGGCAATGTGGCACTTCATTACTTCTTTTTACTGGTAACCTTATTTTAAAAACAACGAGGTAAGTATGAAACAAGCAAATAGAGTGCATGTTTAGTCAGTGTAGTTACACATTCTTTTTCCTGTTTTATCTGTATTTAGTGTTTGTGTGTCATGTTCTCTCTTAGCTTCTGAGTGAGAACCTACCTGGTGTTTTACACATCTTCCATAGAAGAACACTGAAACTCTACCAGCAGATTCCCAGCATATGTTGTGGGAAAGAAAACCACATGTTGGCTTTAAAAACTCACTTATGTACAAGAGATGAGCATCCAAAAACTGACTCTGCCTTTGTATTTTGTTTGGTGATATCTGCAGTCTCCAGAAACGGTACATGTCCAAATACGGCAGTTGTCTCCTCGCAGACAGTTAAGCTGGCTGCTTGTGCTGTTCCTGTATGCCTTCCAAGCAACAGGCCTCTAAATGCCAGGGAAGTAGCTGGACCAGGAAAAATAGAGCAAAACGTAGCTCGGACCTCACAGATTTGTTAGAGTGGATTGCAGAGCACAGCTTCTCCTATCGGCTGCAGGAGCTTTTGAAGCCTTCTTAGCTACGACACTCTAAGACTCAGTACTGCAGAGGTTTTGCATTGCATTCATCAAAGACAGATTTCTTTGTTAGCAATACTTTTTTGGGACTTTATGCTACTATGATACTAAATTAATTACTTTTTTAAAGCAAATATTTATTCTACATGCAGCAATTCCATGTCTGAAATGTCAAAGGGACATGGTCTTTTTTGTAGTTTTGTACTGATTTGCAAGCATGATTCGCTAAACTTATTATCAGTTGCAGACAGTCTGGGAGAATGAAACAACGGAAATGCTTGTCAAAAATGAAGCAATTTATAGTGCTAAAGTGAACTCTGCTTCTGCACTAGTATTTTGTGGGAGGAGTGAGATAAAATGAATGCTATCAAATGTTACATAATGGGCTGCTCTGAAGCTGAAGGAGGCTATGTATATTTGAAAACTGCCAGTCCATCATGTAAAGTGTGTAAGGTATCACAGTGCATTGAGCAAAAATCTTTGGATTAGTCTATAATTGGCTCCTACAAAAGGGATAAAGCTTTTTCCTTTTCATTCCCCACACCTAAATTGAACTTCCTGCACAGCACCATTCCTTTTTTTTTTTTTTTTCTCCTGTACTTGGAGGACATCAATAATTACTCCAAACTCTGTGCAGTTCCTGAGGAACATATCATTCTAAAGAGAATGAGCAGGAGATAAGGAGATAGGATGAAATTATTTCTTTGATTTCTGTCATTACTTTTAGCCATATGTGGTGGGAAATCATGGACTGGATTCTTGTTATTCTAGACTGACTGAAAATTGTAAAAGTAAGCAATAATTGGCACACTTTCTACTCATTTATTTTGCAAAAATTATCTTTGTACCTTTGTGGGAAATTTTCCACTTACTACTTGATTGTGTTAAGGTTCAAAAATTATGCCTAAATGAGTCAGAAATCAGAAATGTAGATCTTGTTGATCACTGAAAGATACTCAACTACATTTCTAACTCTTTCTGAGGAACAAAGACTTATTATTATTCTGTATCCCCCTCTGTCTAGATCCCCTTGTGTTTGACCTTAAGTATCACTTTTCCCTTCATTTTCCCCCTTGTTCTCCTGCATAATCCTTGCTCCTCTTCTGCCCTTTTCACCTCCTCCTGCTTAGCCCTCCAAAACCTGATTCATCTCAAATCAAAGCAGACTTCAAAAAGAGGTGGGATGTATTTTGCACAATAAATGCCTGTTTCTTGCCACTGAATAAGGGCGACTGCAGTAACTAGTATATATGTTTATATCTAGACTTGATGAGGTGAACCCAGACCCTGATTCCTGTGCCTACTGTAACCATTCCTTAGTTTCCCACCTCATTACATATTCCTTTGACCTTCTTAAACTGATCCTTGACCTGAAAGCTGTTTTTAGTCCGGCCCTCCCATCCTCCCAGAGGACTAAGAGGAAAAAAAAAATCCTATTTCCTCCCAGCCTATGCAAGATGTTTGCAGCTGTATCATCACACCCCTCAGAGTCAAAAAAATGCTTTAGCAGTTCCCAGCAATGGAAGACTGTAGTGGCTGTCGTTGTTGGTAAACCTTCCTTCCACTTGCAGAAGTTACAGTGAGTTATAGGAGGTGCTGCTACAGTAAAATAACAGCATGATTTTGTAGAGCAAGCAACCTGTGTTGGAGTAGTGGGCTGCAGACTTGGCCAGTAGGACCTTATGCAGCTGTGCCCTGTTGGACCTGCTCAGAAAAAGTTGTGCTCTCTAAAGTTTGGTATCTCCGTATCTTCCTTGTATTTGACTAGAATAATCTGATATTTAAGAAACAGGAAAACTTGAGTATGATGGCATCATTTTAGGATCACAAAAGGAGAGCCCAAAGCACGCATCTATTCTGCTGACCATTCTAAATTTAAGAACAAAACCAATTAAAAATCAACAACAACATGCCTTTTTTTTCTTTTTTTTTTTAAACTGTGCATGTTAAATAACAGACTGAAGGAAATATACAGGGATTAACTTGAAAACAGATGTTTATAATGACTCAATGACGTATTTTAATTACATTCCCAGATGCAATTAAAACAGACTTTTTCTGAATTTAAGGGACATGTTGATAAAACTGATAACATTCTACATGATGCTAGAGAAGGAAGTATGATCTATAGGCAAGCGTCTTCCAGCTGTGATCTCATCAGGTCTGAAAAACTCAGAGAGGTCATGTTGGGTCAGTTTTTGAATGGGCGATCCAGTGTTTTTCTAGGCGAAACCATGTACTGCAAGAAGCAATGTTGACAGTTCAGTGGGTGGCACTTTCCCCCTTTCATAAGTATTGAACTGGAGTTGTGGCATGTGCTGATATTGTTTTTGGATTTAATTCTCTTTATATAGTATAGGATTTATGCTCATTCAATTCCATGCTGCTTTTCATTATTATTTGTGTTTATAATATATTATTACGGTATACCATTGTAATTATGTAAAATAAATAATTTGGCTTTATACAGATATGGAGAAAGTTTGACTTTACACAGCAGTGTAATGGATCTGCCTATGAAAGACTACGTTCTCAACAAAAGGAACAAATACTTCAGGAGTTAGTGTTCTGGTTTTATTTCACAGCCTTTGATAATCTTATTTTCAGAAAATCAAATTCTCTTTGATACTTTACTTTAAAAGAGTATCTATATATCTATTTTTAATCTCAAAATGTATTAGATGCATTTGTTTTTATTTTCCGAAAACACTGAGGCCTCTGTAGACCTTGCAATCCATACATGTTAAGGTCTGGGCTGTTGGCACTTGCTGATATTTCGCTTTGGGATGATGCTTTTTGTGACTTCTGGGATAACTGCTCTATGAGGCTGCTGCCAGACCTCAATTGCTGCTGTGGATATTCACTGATGTTAATTTTTTTGCTTGTTCTACCTCTAGTTTGTTTCTGTGAGGCATAACAACTAAAAAAGTTATAAAGATTGTTGAGTTACTGTTTGTTTCATGATGATGAGGAGAAAAAAGGAGGAGCACTGGATGCACCTCAGTGCCCTGAAATGCTTTGGTAACACAAAGCAACTGTAAGAGTCCCTTGGCTGATCTGATTCACCCTTTCTCTTGAATGTTATCACCCTTCTTGTTTTGCAAAATGTTACTGGTTCTTTATGGCTGTCATAGAAATCTTTTGGTTACTTGTTGACTCAGCACAACCAAACCCCCAAATCTCTCTCAAATCTCCATCTTATGGCTTACATAAACAAAGGTTTTTAGTGACACTTGTTCTTTGCTCCTGAAGTACTGACATTTTCTGGAGGTATAAGTTGGCTGCGTGTTGGCTTTAGTTTGTCTCGTGCAGAAACCTTGCGAAGTGGATCTGTCCTAAGAAAAGTCTATTCAAAAAAGAGGATCTGTGCAGTAAAAAAATGGTTTGACTTGCTTATTTTACTCATTATTTTCATGCATTCTACTGCTGTAAGGAATCTGCTCTTACTACAGGGAAACAGTTCCATCATTTAGATAATTAGAGTTAGACACTATAAAATAGAGGGAGGAGAAAAATGTTATTTGAAATGTAGCAAATGTGAGAAACAGGACTAGAAGGATCACTGCCTGGCAATAAGCATTAACTGTTCTGTATTTAAAGTAGTAGGAACAGAGGCAACTCTTTGCTTTATTGGGGGCTGTGGTTTGACTTGATTTCATATAGTATGTCCAGATGTCCTTGTCACATGTACTGTTTACTGTGATAATGAAATCAGTATTTTAATTTCCTTCTGAAACTGTTGTTACTGACCTATTTTATGACAGCGTTTTTTATTGTACTGTGCCTGGAAATATGCATTTGTATAAAGATAATAAAACATTGAGATGGACTATTTAATAGTGTGAACTATTTGACACTCCCCATGTTTACTGCCCTTGTAATCTGCATGGTACCAGTGACATCCCTGACTCTTTATGGTTTCATATGGCACCCTTAGTTCAAAGCTTAGATTTGGCACCGCTCAGTTCAAAAAACTAATCCTTAATTTCTCTTTTATTTTCAGGGTTGTTCTGGTTGTGGAAAATGTGACTGCAGTGGAGTGAAAGGGCAAAAAGTGAGTATGTCAGCTCTCTCCACCTAGTTTTCACACTTATTTAAGTGACATGGTGTCTTGGCTGTTCCACCCTGTGCCCTCCTCTGCTTCTCCAGCTCTTGCTCCCTTGCAGTTTTACTTTGCCCATGACTCCAAACTGGACTCTCAGCCAAGGAACCTTCTGCCTTCTAGCCCTTCATCCCTTCTAGTCTCCTATGGCAGACAGCTAGCATCCTCCTGCTCTGCTCCACATGGAGAAGCAACCCCAGCCCATCTCCCACCTGACGTTTATTCTGCCTCATCAGCTTTACTATATCTTACACCTCACCTCTAGCCTTTGTGGTGGGAGGTGTAGACTCTGATATGATGTCCTGCATAATGGTGATCTGCTGCTGAGAGGTAACACCTGCAAGGGATGTGAACATGTTGGCGCAGAGATGTTCTCCACAATACTGATCGCTCCTCGGGAAGGGTATGGTGCATTATAAGTAACCTACCCTGACCAAGGTAAGCCCCAGGAGGCTATGCCTTACATTAGGAAAAATACAAGTTAATAATAAACTTAAAGTGACCTGAAACACCTTGCTATATGTAACAGAGAGAAATGTTAAAATTCATTCTGTGCCCACCCAAAATATTCATATTCTGTACTTCCCATTAATAACAGTAAGAGAAAACATAGTTAAAATTCTCTTTTAAATTTTTTTCAGAAACTTGCGCATCGATTTTAGGATTCCCATTCAGCTACCCAGACTACTTATTTGTTAAAAATATATATATATATATAAAAGACCTATTTTGAAGCAGTAGCAGTGAAAAAACACAGTTTTCTTAAACATTCCACAAATTCACCTTTTAAATTACCTGTAGACATTCAGTCACTCCCCTTATCTCTTTAAATTCTGTTATAGAGATTTAAATCTATGCTGTGTTCAGCTGTGCATGCACATGTGCTGTATCTCTACTAATGTAAATGAGGGTAAAACAAAGGTTTTATCATCCTGTGATTGCAACGCAAACATTCTTTAAGGTAAGCTGCTTAGGTCGTCCAGAGAAGTACTTAGAAGTTTTTATTGTTTTGATAAATATACAGCTCATGTTCTACATTATGTCTCACGTGATAGCTCAATATTCACAATAGAGCGTTTTGGAAATGTCGATGGTTTTTCTTTGGTGTTTTCTAGAAAGTAACATTCTAGAAAGTAACGTTCTAGAAAGTTTTCTAGAATGTAAATGGCTTACTTGGAGAGTAAAACATGTTTTAAGGTGGAGTCTCCTTTTTCAATGACTAATATCTGTTTAATGAAAGTCAGCCATTCATTAGAACTTGGCAAAGCAGAGGAGATCTGCGAGTGTCTTGGAAATTTGAATTTATTCCTTGAAATGTACATCTTATTTTTCAGTTGCAACTACAAATAAATTACTGTAGAGAAAGACAGGTATTGTTATAATTCTGTTGTTCAAAGCTATTGGTTTTCAGTTGATAGAGTATGCCAACTTGAAAATAGATCATTTTAAAAATCGTGCAGTTTTGGAAGGAGAGTGTGTCAATACTTAAGCTTAATTTACTTCAGATGACAGTCTGAAGCAGACAACTCCTCTCTGCTAGAGTCAGAAGACATTCTCTTGCTGGCATACTTAATTTACATTATTTGGAGTCTCAAGAAATTTATTTATAAAAAAAGTGCTCGTCTATTATGGTAGTGGCTAAAACTACCTCAAATTAACATATGTTAATGAAAAACGTAGAAGAACAGATAGAGTTCAAAGTAAATTCTAGATCTCTTGCATTTAGCTGTTGCACAAATCTGTTGTGTGGCACAGTTCACAAAGTTCTTTGTTCTTTAAAGCATACATAGTGCATGGAATTTGGTTTAGCTACTGACATCTCAAGAAGTGAATAAATAGCTGTGCCTAGAAAATCATACGTAAGGAAAGAATCTGAAAGTATTTTGAAATATTGTTTAAAATAATTTAATTCAGATCAGTATACACCAAAGTCTGATGTTTATGATAATAGTCTGAGGCTTTCAAATGTATACTTTGTTTGAACAATTGTTTGAACATT